GGTCAGGGATAGACAATTTCAAGTGAAAAACTAAACATTTCTGAGGTTTTGCATTAGAACTGAAAAAAGACATACCAGTACTTTATTTTTGTCATGATTATGTTTATTTCTGGTTATTTATAGGAGCAAATGCTGTTCTTGAAACTTTGTAGTAACATACTTGCTATGCTTACCAGCTATTTGTTTTTTAATTAATATTTCTGTGACAGTCGTTTATTTTTTTTATCATCAGCTTTTTATAACCAAACATAAGTTGTTGATAAAGTTGTCTGTCAGTGTTTTTTAGTTTTAATTTCACCCACAGGTGTCCCAGGACCTGCCTTTCCTTCACCCCAGTGAGACCAGTGTCCTCAACAGGCTGTGCAAACTGGGCTCAGATTACATACGCTTCACAGAGTTTATAGAGCAACACACCGGCCATGTTCATCAACAAGTAAGCCTCAGTCTCATATCACATTATTACAGACATGATGTTCATTTATGGCCATATCTTAAAAACTCAAGTTCCTTTGTTATTGTAATTGTAGCTTATTTGTTGGCATCTTAACAAATCAGTAGGGTTGTGTATTGGCAAGAATTAGGTTATATGATACACAGCATGCATGACACATGGGTCACTATATGATAAATCAAAAATATAATTGCAATACTGTAAGCAAGGTGGTAWATTGCCRTTTATTGCCTGTTTTTCTCCAAAAAATGTAATAAAAAAATCTCAGTATGTTTTGTATGGTTAGTTACAATGCTAATGTTTGAGCTAGCATTAAACTCTGGCTTTTTAGGAGCAGAGGAGCCAAATATCTGTCTGACTGCTGCCAACTGGTGGTCAGAGGCTAAGCTACAACACAAGAACTTACCACTGGGCATGAAAGTTTACATTTTAAACTGCAATTAAAACTCAATACCCTGCTTTAGAGAATTGATACAGTATCAGAAAATGAAAAATCATGATATATTCTTACACCCCTACAAAAAAATACAATAGTTGATAAGCTTTGACTTTTCCTTCAAATAATTTGCAGTTCCTTGAAGGCATGCGAATCACCCGCTACCTTTCATGCCAAAGGTTTTTGACTAAAATTATCTTATGTTGGGTTTATGAGTGTTCTGGTCAAATCTTAAAAAATAACATTCTATGATATCTCATGAGATCTTGGTCGACTTATTTAGTGCTTGGAGTTTGTGTTGTGAGTGACTGTCAGCCACAAGAAAATCTTGTTTTATCTTAATGTCTGTAAAAAAAATTGCTGAGGTCTCGCCATGTTTGTGTAGCTTAAGGTCGATCGGGTGTTTAAGTGGGACATAACATGCAAAATGCACTTTTTTATTTATTAAACACATTTTGTAGTTTTTGAGTCTGTAGGAGGTAGAAACCTTTTTATGCTGTTTTTTCAAATCATTCAGTTTCCTCTATTTTCTATGATGTTTTCTAAACTATTACATTGATTGTTTGTGATARAATAGACATACGGTATAGACTCACCAACTACAGTTTTGTGGTYTTCATTCTCCTCTRGCTCTGGGTCAGACTCTGGCTCCAACATGTAAGGCTGGATGGGCAAGTCTTCTGTTGTTGACATCTTTTAATCATTTTGTAATTAATATGTTTCTGCGCCCCTCTATCAAACTGGAACAGGCCTCCCTGGAAGCGAAGCAAAGCGCCTCATTTTGATTTAAAGAGACAGCCTCAAAAGGAGTTGTTCTGAGACTAGGGCTGCCACGATTAGTCGATTAGTCGACGACTAATCGATTATTAAAATAA